TATGGGATAAAAACATGTACTCCATTTAGCTTTTCTTTGTATTAATGGCCAGAGCTAGAAGAGTTGAAGTTTTCTTTTCAAGAGTAGTACAGTGAGCATCATCGTTGGGTCTTGACATTTGGACAAAGTGAACACATCAACTTGAGTCAGACCGGGTCTGTATGCACAATGTCCTTCAGCCACTGAAGCTCCAAGGCTTACAATTTATTTTATTAATTATTATTTAAAATGTTTCATATTTTATAAGCAGAGAAAGATTTGGGAGAATAGTTATTAAAGAATAGAAACTGTTTGCTTCTAATTCACCCGTGGAAGATGGAGAAAGATTTAAAGGCTTAAATCAAACCCTAATACACCATGATGTGATTTCTTCTGTCCCCAAGGATGGTTAGTGTTTTTAAGCTGTCAGCAGAGCTCCTTGAGTCTTGAGCATCTCAGTTTTAATTAGCATCCCTGTTACTGGCTCAACGGGAAGACCAGGAAAATGAATCTGCCTGCCACTCAAGAGGACTGATTAGATATGCCAGAGGCATTCTCTCAGTTAGACAGTCTCTACAGACAGCCTCCTTCATCTGGGTAGCTGATGCTCCATACAAGGAAGTTTGCAGACTCCTTATTAAAAGAACACCGTACCATAAGATGTCCTCAAGTTTAGAAAATATGCACAGAATTATTTATGTTTAAAGAAGCATGACACCAGCAACTTAATCTCAAGTGGCATAGGAAAGCATGTGTATGTGTGTGTGTGTATGTGTGTGTGTGTGTGTACATGTGTGCATGTACATGTGTGTGTGCATGTGTGTATGTGTGTGTATGCATTTACACATGTGTGTATGTGTGTGCCTATGTTTGTGCACATGTATGTATGTGTTTTCGTGTGTATGCATGTGTGCACGTGTGTGTGTGTGTGTGTATGTGAGTGTATGCACATGTGTGGGTATGGGTCCAGAGAGCAAATCAAAAAGAAGACAAAGCAAGCATGGGAAACATTAACATCTAGGGGATCTAGGGAATGTAGACATTCTTTATATTATCCCCCTTCCCCCTTTTTCCTTGTAGTGCTGGGACTGAACCCAGGGACCTGCGCATGCTGGTCTCTTGCTGTACCTCTCAGCTACACTCCTAGACAGGATCTCACTATATAGTTCAGAATGTCTTCCTCCTGAGAACTGGTATTACTGGAGTGCTGCCACTATGTCCCAGTTCCCAACTCTTTCACAAGTCTGAGAAATTCTTTCAAAATAATTTCAAAAATAACTGCCAACCCCAAACCATCACCATATTCTCTAAATAAGCTAATGATGTCAAACAAAGGGGGCCACCATCCTGTGAGCATCCCTATGGCTGCCTCCCTTCATGGTTGTGGGTTGGGAGAAGGAGCCATGTTTGTGCCTGATTGTCGCTGTGTCGCCTATGCCTATGCTTGCTGGTCTCACTGACTTTGGCTCTTGCTATAGGGATGACAATGCTCCAATGAAGGTTATTCTAGTTCTTTCCTACCTCCTTTTGATGAAGTAACTATAGTAACTTCCCAAGAAAGGCTGTCTCTGAGAGACTGGCCCATTTTGAAAACGCTCTGTCTACCTGTGGATTCAGGAATATTTAGTTCTCGGTGTTGACTTTTGCAGATTAATACCCCTGTCTCTAATATCCTTTCCAGCTCAGTGGCTATTTCTGGCTTGTCTGGAAAGGAGTGATTGTGCTTTTTTTGTGTGGGTGCCAATGGATAGAACTCAAAAACAGAAGAAAAAAATCAATTAGCTGTACACTCATGGTATCAGTGTACACTGCTACTGATTTCAGGTGGAGAAATGGAGAGACGGCGGCTCCATTTGCGTGACTAACACCAGGAAAAATGCCCTGTGGTCAGAGTGTCTGGCTGGCATCTGGAAGCTTTCACTTTTTAGACCAAGTAGAAGGAGACTGTCGCTCCGTTGGTGAGAGGTGGCCAAGCAGGATGGCTGACCTGCTTCTTGTGTGGTATGTCCTCACCAGCTTGACACCACAGGTCTGTGACTGAAGATGGACCTTTTCAGAAGTGCCATGTCTTTGAAAAAGATCAGAGTCTTCTTCCACAGTCTTCTGAATATGGACTGGCCTTCTTCTAGTGACTCAGGTTGGCCATGGGGAACGCTAGGCACACCACAGCTGATGTTGCCTGTACACGTTTCCCTGAGTATCTCACTGGGACTGGGCTGGATGGCGTTTTTCTCATAAGGATGAGAGACATTTATCTAGTGGCTTCACTTATGGGTTGGGACTGGTTTTATCTTGGCTTTAAAACAAGTTAGGATAGGAAAGCCTTCCCTGGCTAGGGATAATTTTGACTTCACAGTGGCACATGGTAGCCTCTGGAGGGACAGACATGGCTCTCCTGAGGACTGGGTCTTCTCGTCATTGGTCATTGTAGGCCATACTTCCCTCACTTCTGACACCACAGGAAAGTAGTGTCCCTACATCTGATGCCCACCACTCTTGTTCGTTGCTGTCTTGTATGAGTTGCAGCCCACATAAGGCTGGCCACAGGAATACTGTAGGTCTTGACTTTAACGTTGGCGGGTGATGGAGAGACCTCTGTAGGACTTGCTGATGAAGCACACCATTAAGGGTCTTTTGCTGTGATGCCTCACGTTTTGCATGACACTTTGGCCTAAAGGTTAATGATAATATGAAAACGACAAGCAGACTGTATACCTAGGGGACCTTGATTCCTATAGGTCTGCCCTGCTGTGTAAAGTCTCTCCCCTCCTAGCACAGGACCAGTGATTCTGGAATCATTTTTCTTCAGAGGATTAAGAGTTAAGAAGTAGAAAAAAGACAACAACAAAAACCAAACAAATCCAAAGATGACAGACTCCTGAATCTACAAGCACAGATGAGACGCCCAAGAGCAGCCAGCCAATCCTGTGAGCGCTGGCAGTCCGTAGCTGGTACTTGACAATAAGTGAAGGCTTAATTCCATGGAAGCCGGGCAGTACAAATTGAGAGAACAGCTAATGGCCTTTAATCCTGCAGATCTCAGGAAAATTGAGTCTCTGGTGCTTGTTAGAAGCCCACCAGGAAGCTCCAGAGACAAGGTTGTTAGGCAGGCCTGCTAGGGCTGCTCAGAGGTGGGAGCACCATGGGTCCTCAAAGACGGGCTCACCATGGGACGTGGACATAGTCAGGGGCTCTGGCAGCCACACTGCGTGGTTGTTTACCACAGAGAGGCCTGTGTTGCTCACTCCTCTTTAACTAACTACCTGTTGCTTTTTCTTTTTTCCTGCAGACTCCTCTGAGTTTGCACTTAGCCGTGGCCCAGTGAGGCACGTTTCAGTGAGGAAGCTGGGAAACCACACCCTGAGCAGCTTCTCTCTGCAGCCTTTTCCCTCCTTTACCTGTGCCAACCACATTGTGGCTTTGACTAAGCTGCTGTCCTCTGTCCTAAACCACCTTTCGGCCCCTGAACTCTTCTTGGTGTGGTAATTCCATACAAGCGCTGTGCCACGCAGACAGAGTGACACTCTAGGGACCCATGCATGATCCTCCTGAAATTAGGAGGTGACTGCTCTGTGTCTGTGTCCTGGGGGTGGGGCGAGGTGGACATGAGCTCAGGGTGGCTCTTTGCTGTCCTGCATGTGACTGAGACCTCCCTCACGTCTCTCTCTGCTTGGACTCTCTTGCCTTGTGACAAAACAAAGTATCAGACCCTGCTTGCTTCTCAGTCCTTCCTGAACTGTGTCTCCTCTGTGGGCTGGCTTCTGTCCCTGCATTCTTTTTGGCTGGTGGAGAAGAAGCTGGGGCGGGGCGGGGGGGGTGTCAATTGACCTGATTAATTTTAGTTTGTCTTCGGTCTGTGCTAAAAATGTCTGTGGAGAATAAAGTCCAGCGGGCTCGCCAATGCCAGTGTTATTCTTGGCGCAGAGGACACATGGGCACTTCTGAGGATGGATTTGCTGCTCCTACTCAGCAACTCTGCCACCGCAGGGGTCCGCTTGGCCTGCTCACACAGGTTGGTTAGAGAGCGACTGGGGCTGATCCAGCAGAGTGGAAACTTCTGACACTGGCTGTGGACCATGGCAGCTTGCCTTACAGTATCTGGAGAGCACCGGGGCTGAAACTTGGAAGGGGTGGCTCTCTGGGCAGATGTCCTGGGTACTGTGGAATGGCAGGTGGAGTGTACGAGGAATTGGTGTCTTAAAGATACTCAGTTTAGCTTAGTTCTTGGGACAGAAACCTTGAGAAGGGGCATATTGGCTGCCATTCACTACCAGAAGAAGTAGCAGGGCTGTCACCAACAGCCTAGTGGAAAGAAAGGACCCTGATCCACCCTTCCGGCATCTGCCAGCTATATCTTCTGGTGAGCTATTCAGCCTCTATGTGTTTTGGCCTTCTCTAATGTAGAGCTGAGACAATCATGTCTGTCTGCCTCACAGAGGTGTTGGGAGAATTATGTAAACTGATGTTTGAAAAGCGCTGGGAATGGGGCTGTTGTATAATGGGTTAAATAGAATTTTAAAGGTTGGAATCACATGGTAGAAGCTGGATAAAGGCAGCAGTGCTGGCCCTGGTGGTGGCTACCCACTCTGCACAGTGGAGGGAAAGGCCACTGTGAGAACTGGGTTCAGATTCTACCTGTGGGATGGTGGAGATTTAAGTGTGCCCCAGGACCCCGTGGTGGGGCAGCATATGGGAGGGCTGGGGGAGCAGGCAGGTTTAGGAGATAGATTTGAGACCTGAGTCCTGTCAAGGACCAGGCAAGGAGAGCTCTGCAGGGTATAGTATCCCCAGTGGTCAGTGCAGGCTACTGGCTAATGACCTGTGTATTCTGTGGTCATCCTTTAGAAGTTGTTTGTCCTTCTGTCTTTACTCTGGCCATCAGATTCTAGGGTTGTGCACAGTCTTGAGCTGGTGACTGAGCAGCCATTTTCCTTACTCTGCCAAGGCTAGGGTCACTAGCCTCCTATCGCCCAGAGAAAGGGAGGGGAGGTCAGCATACTGCCCTGCCTTTCTGGACTCACCACTTTGGGCTTGAATGGCGGTTGGATCTCCCTGTTCTCCAACTTCTCCCAGTCAATCCTCCTGAAGAAGGCATGTTCTCTGACATCCCTCTCTCCCTCGGGCCCGCAGCCCAGCCGCTTGGCAGGGTGTTTGGTCATAAGCTAGAGAGAGAAACAGACAAAGACACAGATGAGTGACAGAACCTTCCCCATCCAGCCCTGCCTCTGAATAGATGGCTGAGGAGGCTCTGGAAGTCCACCAAGAAACACACATGTCGGGTGGCAAGGGTGGCCTCTGTGCAGTGATTTTCACAGTAAGGAAGCAGTTGGAACCAATGACCGAACGGAAGGGAAATTCAAACAGGCATCTGCATGCATCACGTGCATTTTGAACCTGGCATCTGTGTATGTAAATGGGGGCTGGGGAGACTGGGGATATGTCCTGTTGGTAAGGAGTCACATTTGCAGGGTATAAAGCCCTAGGTTCAATCCTTAGCACTGTCAAAGGGGAAGTGGGGAAAACTGGGAAGGGAAGGAGGGAGGGAGGGAGGGAAGAAAAGTTCGTGCTATTTACATGAATGCTTTATTAATAAAAGATCATGGGAAGTCATATGTGCTGAGAGTACGGAAGGCCTACAGCACACGGATGCTGTATGTAAGCAAGTGTCACATTCTTCTTTATTGCCTGGATCAAAATATCATCAGGCTCACAGGTTAGGAAAATACACATTGTAGCAAAGGCAGCAAGTAGTTCATTTCAAGGTATCTGATGTGGGACTTGGAGGGCATATCAACCCTGGGCCAGTCCACGGCAGGAGCTCCTCAGCTGCCACAGGCAGCTTAGCCTTGACCTTCGAACACACTAAATAGGAAACAGCGAGTGTGGTAAACTCTCTTTTGAGACATTTAAAAAGAAATTTTGTGACTTAAATCATGACCACTGAAGACCAATTAAGTCTACTGCCACCAGTTAAGTTGCTGGCATTTCCCTGAAAGGAGAGCTGGCCAAGGACCCAGAAGGTTTAAAACAGTTCTATTTATAATAGTCTCTAGCCAAGGTGGAAACAAGGCAAGTGCCCTCCCTCGATGAGCGGAACGCAGGGATAGACTGTCCAATGTCCACACAGCAAACATGTCAGAAGAAACCATGGCGACACACAGCGATGTGGCCACATTCACTATACCATGCTGGGTAAAAAGCCAGGCCTGGGGCACACTCTGAGGAATCCCAGCTGTGCAAAGGCCAAGGCAGGCAAGACTCATCTGTGTAGTCAGTACTGATTATCTTGGGGGTGGTGGGTGATAGCAACTATCAGGGGAGAGGGGAGGGGGCACCTAGGGTTCTGTCTTTGAACAGGGTACAGTTACATGCATGCATCCATTCTGTGAAAACTAATTGATATGGCCATGGATGGTCTATACCCATTTTTAATATGTATATCTTAAGAGAGAGAAAATATAAACTGTCACATGTGAGGATTAGCACTCCCCAGGAGCCTGTGATTATTTCTTTGTTTGTGTGACTGTAGGTATATGTATGTGTGGAAGACAAAGGTGTATGAGTGTCTGCATATCTGTAGAGGCCAACCTTGGGTGTTGTTCCTCCTTGGAACACATGGATTGGAGCTAGGCTGGCTGGCCAGTGAGCCTCAGGGCCCGCCTGCCTCAGCTTCAACAATGTACCAGCATGCCTGGCTATTTTACACGGGTTCTGAGCACTGAACTCAGGTCTTCAGGCTTACATGGCAAGCACATTATTGACTGAGCTACGATTAATTCTAGTGCCTCCCCACCCCCACTGCAGTGCTACAAGATGGACTGGGAACTGAAGTGGACAGAGTAAGAGAATGGGTCAAGATGTTTGGACAGTGCTGGAATGTGAATCTGTTCTGTCCCTCTGTGCCCTGCGTGCCACCGAAGTTGGGCATAGTGGTACACGCCTGTGATCTTAGCACTTGAGAGGTTTAAGGAAGCAGATTGCAAGTTTAAGGCCAGCATGGGCAATATAGGGAGTTCAGAGCTGGCTGAGCTAAAGAGCAAGACCCTGTCTCAAAAACGTCAGGTATGGAAAGGGTATTTCCCTTGACAGCCATCTTGGTTAACCACCAGAGAAGAACCCAGATATACTCACTCCTTTGCAGATGGAGACAGCTTCCTTGGACAAGGATTTGGGGTAGGACACGTTGTGCTCCATTATAGACTGAAACAGTTCATCTTCATCTTCCCCGTCAAACGGAGGCTGTTCCAGACACAGAAGGGAAAACAAAAAACAGAAGGAGTAACGCATTACCATGGAGGCACGAGATCTGTGAGAAGAAATGGACCCTGTTTCCCCACACACCGCAGGTGGCAAGGTTAGCTCGGTGAACACAGAGGCTGATGTGATTATCTTTCATTGGGCTGCTGGTTGTGCGTTTCCCATTTTTTTTTTTAACTGTCCCTTTCATTATCTTACCCTGGGCGACCCAAAATAATCTTTAAGGGAAAATGTTTTAGAGTAATACGTTTAGTGATTTGCAAATAAATTATAATTACTCTATTAATCTTGTAATTATGTGCTAAAAATCTAACTATGAACAAGTCAGGTTGCAGATGGTTCTGTGTTTAGGGTGTGTGTGTGTGTATGTGTGTGTGTGCATGCAGAGAATGCTGTTTTTGCCTTGACTTAAGGTGAAGGGAACTTCAGGCTAGGGGCAGAGAGGAACTGTAGCCTTTCTGACCTGACAAGACAGGTAGCCTGCTTGGTGGCAATTGACAGGAGCTAGCTTTTAGATATCTCCTTTGTCCCTTCTAGTGGGCTGAGAAATGGAGGATCGGTGATACCATGGAGCACGGAACTCTATTTCCCAGCTGGATGCTCACACTCAGATGGCCCTTACACAGCAGTTGCTGTGATGAGGCTTCTGACTAGTTCAGAGCCCAGTGTGGGATACCCAGAAGAAGCTCAAGGAAGGGAACTTACAGTTGTTACTGAGGCAGAGATAGTTCTTGGGAGGGGTTGTAAAGAGACCATGGCACCTGTCTGTGTCCAAGGTACCCTTCAAGTGGTTTCTCCATTGCATCTTTTACCCTGAGGGCACTATTCTCTCATGCTCACTCTAATGGGATGTGCCCAGGAGGACTGGACTTACGGGAAATTCCTGAATATCATCCTTGGTACAATAACCTTCAGCTTAACATAAAGATGTCAGGGGCATCCCTGGTAGAGAGCTTTGAAGGGGAACTGGGCATGGGGCCAAGGCAGGAGAGTCACATGCTCTGAGGGAAAGACGCCAAGTGTGTAAAGAGCCCTCCCTTTGGGCCAGGAGTGGGGGGGATGTAGTTTCGGTGACTTATGACCCTTCGTTTTTCTCTCTCTTGCTCTCTAAGTGTAAACGAAGAGCCTCTTTTCTGGTTGGAAACGCCTGGCTTTGTAAAGCACCTGTGATGTGGTGGCAGTCTGCATGTGGGTGAGGAGAAAGAGTGAGTCTGGCTGTGAATTAGTCAGGGCATGGCCTGCCGTGGTGCGTAGATGAAACCTGGCGTCTACAAGGTAGGTCAGTGGGAGAGTGTAGCTGCAGATGGCCTTGCTGGGGTGGGGCTGTGCCAGCCAAGAGTGACAGTGGTGCTTGGCCTGCTGTCCAACACACCTTCTTTTTGGCCCCATAGCAGGCATCCTCTCGATACCTTTTATTAGACATCCACGCATCACCTCATCTCCCCTAACGAGGAACCCAGAAGGGAGTTTGAGCTTTGGCCAAGGGGGCGTTCACAGCTAGCACCAACATGCTAAGTTCTGACCTGGGCTGCAAGCCACACCCTGCCAGGAGCACTGTGCAGTCTAAATTTAAGGTGAGCATGTTCACACACACAGAGACACAGACACACAGACACACAGACACAGACACACACACACACACACACACACACACACACACACACACACACACGAGTAACTGTGTAAACTCAAGCTGCTGAGTCCACTTACATTGGTTATGTGAGTATGACTTGGGCTGGCCGTGCGGGAGTGGATAATCATTTAGGGTGCTTACTATAGGGAAGTCTAATTCTCCCTCTCTCAGCAGTTTTAATCACCTAGTTTTATTCATCTGGGGGTGGCATCCCATGTGACTTCCCCCATGCACAATGGCAGGCCAACTGGTATTGTTGTCGTTCAGTTCTTGCTAGTAGTAGCCGGAATGATGAGGCGCTTTTGTCTGATTTTATTTTACTTTGTTTCATTTTATTTTATTGACAAAGTTTCCCTGAGTAGCCCTGGTTGTTCTGGAACTTGATCTGGAGATCAGGATTGGACCTCAGACTCGGAGATCTGGCCCCTGCCTCTGCCGCCTCCTCTGCCTCTCTGCCTCTCTGCCTCTCTGCCTCTCTGCCTCTCTGCCTCTCTGCCTCTCTGCCTCTCTGCCTCTCTGCCTCTGCCAAGTCCTGGACTTAAAGGTGTGCACCGCCACAACCACCAGGTTCTCTGTTCAGCTCTTAAGCAGCCATATGATAGATACTTCATGGGTATAGTTTCACTGTCATATTTACAAATATCTTTTTTTTCATGGATTCTCAGATTTTCTTATTTTCAAATAAGATATTATCTGTAATCTTTGTTTTGACTGTTCCAAACACATTTTTCTTGGTAGCCAGCAGTATTCCCATTCAGAGCCCAAGAGCCACCAAAATCTCTTCAAATGGATTCATGGGTCCTTGGGTGTGTTGACAATCGCTTCAAGCAACATGTTTTGATAACAAATACTGGTAGAAACGTCTCTGCATGCCGGCTCTTTTTTCCTCTGAATTACTTCTGAGGAACGGCATCCCGGGTGTGGGATTACGCACCAAAGGATGTGAGCGTGTTGATGTTCTTGCTGGGACACTCCAGCTCACCCTAGGGGCCTCTTTACAGATAATTACCTACTCGCAGGCCCTGGTGCTGAGGGCAGGTCAGTGGTGCCAGGTTATAATTATATCCATCTTCCTTTCTAGTAATGCCAATTCCCGTAGTGTGGAGAGAGCTGCTGCCCGGGTCCTTAGTATGTGACCGTTTCAGAGTGCCTCGCTCCCCTACCATCCCGATTCCTACAGCGAGTTTTAAGTGTCTGCAAATCTGGACGCAGTGTTCCGAGCTCAGCTCCCCATTAACGAGTCTCGGGTTTGTGTAAAGAAAATTTTCTGAACGTGTTGAGCCCCACGCCCCACTGAAGAGCTCTAAGCTTTCATCAGACAAATGGCTCCCACGGTACAAAACGCTTCCTGAATCACTTCCTAACAGGCAGAAGGGAAGGGACCTGCCATGTTGCTTTGCAGTTTGCTGAGGACCTAGGAGGAAGGGAGAGGGACACACGTGGACCATTTGGGCTGAAGCTCCAATTACTGAGATGAAACACCCTGTACAGATAAACATCTATGGGAAGGAAAGGACGCAGATGAGAGGGCCAGTCCCCTTATGACAAATGCTGTGAACACTGGGAGCAGCAATGAGCTCATCAGAGGGCCACACAGGCGCTATTAATACTCCTGCCCAAGCAGTTATGTCTGTCAGGCCATTCAGAAACTGGATATAGACTCAGGCAATTCAGACTTGATGGCTCCATTTGGCTGCTGACAACTGATAAGCCGAAGGCACATAGAATTGCAACCAGCTACCTTTCCCTGCTCATTGTTGGCCTTCTATAGTTAAGGAAGACAAATGTAGTGACTGACCCCTTGGACAAGCTCATAATCAGTCTTCCTCCTCAGTCCCTGTGCCGATCCGCTCTTGTCGATGAGTCCCTGTGACTGTTAGGGGCTGTGGGTATTTGTATGACACCGGTGGCCAAGTTGTAGGCACACCAGGAATTCACTTCATTTTGCAGGCTCTGACTGGAACTGTGTTTGCTCCTTGTAGGCAGCCAGGTAAAGCTGTGTGGAACAGAGGTTATGGCCTGTGCCCAGCAAGGCACCCGCATGTTGGAAACCTTGCAGGCGCCGTTTTTGAGGACTATTATCCTTTTCACAATAGAGACTTTGGGGGATGCATGCAAAGCATGCTAAGTGGCTGAGAAGCAGCTTTGGGGATACGCCAGAAGGTGTACAGAAGCTCCAGGTGTGGGAACAAGGGTGAGAGGGACCTCCCTGGAAGGCCCAGATACCTCCTCAGGGTTCATATACAAGGCCTGTGATGGTTCATTCTGTCAACTTGATGAGATTCAGAATCACCATGGAAATGAAATGCTGGGCATGTCTATGTAGAGTTCTAGACTTGGTTAACTGATGTGGCAAGGCCCACCCTAAATGTGGGTGTCCACATTCCATAGGCTGAGGTCCAGGACTGACCTGAGAGCTAGATAAGCAGCAACGTTCATCGCTCTCAGCTTCCCGATTGGGATTCGATGTGTGTAGCTGTCTTGCGTATCTGCTGCTAGGTGTACCCTCCGAACTGGGGGCCAAAGGCAACTGCACTTTAGGCTGCTTTTGGCCATTTGTCACCACAAAGCCCAAGGGAGACTTACTTCCTGGGCTCCTCACTAGGGAATGCAGCCTGGAAAATCGTGGGGAGGAAGGCTGGCAGGTAGGTGGGAAGGAAAAGAGGGAGAAAGGAGGGAAGGAAGGAGAGGAGGAAGATAGGACTTCACTGTAGGCTGTTTGGAAACCCTAGTCTTCTGTCAGCCAATAAGGAGGCAAGGCATGGATGCTCTTGGAAAATGGAGTGCCCTTAGGAAACCCAGGCTGTGTCCCTGCCCAGCTGGTTCCACTGGCTGGCAGATACAAATGAGACTCACAGTGAGGGGCTTGTTTTCTGGCCTTGAGAGCTCAACACTAAGGATCAAGGAGGGGGCTAGACTGCACATTGCCTATGTGGTCGGCAGGGCTCCCAGGTGTCTGGCAATTCACAGTCAAATTTAGTTGTCGAAATTTTCAGAAGGGGAAATTGGCTTCCAGCACAGGCAACCTGTGCTTCCCCCACCTGCATGTCATAGTGAGCCTGTATAGCCTGCTTTTCTATGCGCATGTACTAAGGCATTACACCTAAGAGGAATTCTCAGATCGATGGGGGTGGGGGGCTGAATAAACAAACGAATGAACGAACGAACAAACAAACAAACAAACCACTCCATCCCACTCTTAATAGCATCGAGGAGTGCTGACTGAATGTAGGCAAGTGTTTGTATTTTTTTCATAGCTAAACAAATTTTTAGTATCTACTAGATATGATGACAGAGAGAGAACGTAAAGAACAGGCTTCCTGTCCTAGAGTAAAAGTCTGGACGTGACAACTGTGTTCACGTGGCCAGAGACCCCTGGCTTTCTCCATTTTACTGTGTGTCAGCCATGCTGGTGGCTTCCCTTCAACTTAACCAGGGCTATATGCTTTTTCCTCTTAGTTTATCACTGACATATATTTTCATCTTCTAATTAGTCTTTTCTCTCTCTCCTTCTGAGCTGTGAGCTTGTGGAGGTAAGGATTTCTGTCTGTTTTATCCTCACTGTAGGTAGGAAGCATTCAGAGTGCAAATAAATTATGGCCAGTGACTGTACCATCTCAGAATGGTAGGCACTTTGTCCCCAGAAACGTGTGCCTGCTGCTCAGCATGGGTATGTCTGCCCTTTCTTGATTATTGAGGTTCTTACCTCTAAGGTCAAGGTCCCCAGGACTACCTCAGAATCCCAGGAATTTAAAAAAGAAGAGTTGGGTTTTGTGGTGATCTGAATGGGAGTATTTCCCATAGGCTCCTATGTTTTAATACTTGGTGGAACTGTTTGGGAAGGATTGGGAGGTGTGTCCTTTCTGGAGTAGGGGTGACACTGAGGGTGGCCTTTTCATTCTCAGTTAGCTCTCTCTGCCTCTCACTTGTAGACAATGATGTGGGCTCTCAGCTCCTTCTCCAGTACCATGCCTGCCTGCTGCCATGTTCTCTACCATGATGGTCATGGACTCTAACCCTCTAGAACTGTGAACCTCGAATTAAACACTTTCTGTTATAAGTTGCTTTGGTTATGATGCCTTGTCACAGCAACAGGAAAGTGACAAAACAGGGATAAAGTCAGAGGTCCCTCAAGCCTTCGCCAAACCCACGGCCTCCAGCCAAGCTCTCAGACAGCTCTGCCTCCTGGCCCTCTGTACAGTCAAGGGGAGTCAAGTGGCCTGTGCCACATAGGTAGGGGCGATGTTCACCACTTAGGCCTGGTTCTAAAATGTTCCCCATGACTATTCCCTCGATCTCTCTTCATCACTGGCTGAAATGAGGTGTCTGTGGATGACTCTATGGCCGTCAGCCATGACAAACAGAAAGGACAGGAGAGCGCTGACCTTGAATTCTCACATGACTTCGGGTTGGACTCACTCTCCCCGTCTGCCCATCTCTCCCAGCTACAGAGGGCTGTATGGAGTATGTGAGGCAGCCACTGAGATCTGAAGGTTGTTTATCAAAGGCGTGGCTCGGGTGCTGAAGCCATTTGCACGTGGCAGTGCTCTGCTAGGCAATGCAACTCCATTCTCTGATAAAAGTCTCATCCGACGTGAAACTCAATTTGCCTTTTCCTAACAGAAGTTCAGCCTCGCTGGACATCGGTGGAAATGACCCTCCATTGCCACTGACGAGATAGGTACAGAGGGAGGGTCTAACCGTGAGTCTCACAGGCTTCTGCCTCTTTTCATAAATAAGTCATAATCAATGTTTGGGATGATGTTGACCAAGTTGTAGGAACTATACCCCAGTCCCAGGTCTGAAAAACTCACAGCAGTCATAACAGTCATAGGTTTGCAAGGGACACAATACGGTGGCCACCGCGTCCACACCCCAGACTGCTGCCTCCCACTTGGGAGTTTTTATGATCAGGAGATGATCATCTGCTCTCCCGAGCTTTACTCCCTCTCTCCCCAAGTCATGTGTTTGGAGCAACATTTGTTACTCTGGGCTGTCCCCCTGTCACCTCTGCCTTCTGTCGGGTGAAGGTCACACCACTTGTGACAAACACACACACACACACACACACACACACACACACACACACACACACAGTGAAATATTACCTGCCCAGCTAGCATCTCATACAGCAGCACGCCATACGCCCACCAGTCCACAGACTTTCCGTACGGCTGATAGGCGATTATCTGTGGGAAAACAAACACATTCGGTTATGTGTAGCACTAACTCAACTGCTCCTGCCAGGAGAGTTGAGTCAAGCAGGCAGGCATGTCATCACAGCTCTTGCTAAGCTAAGGAGGTGGTGGTAAATGCTGCCTCTATTTCTGCACAGGGGGACAAGGGAGAGGACCCTTCAAAGGGCGGCAGGTATCCTGAGAACCACCATTCCAGTATATACCACCCAAACCTTGTTCTGTGATTCCTCTTGTGGATTCGCTTGGGGATGTCACTGATTGTCTAAAGCTAGATACCAGTATCCTTACTGGTGAAAACAGACAGCGAGTTGGATTTAGATGTTAAAAAACATGAGGGGGCCTGGAGAGGTGGCTCGGTGCTTATGAATGCTTGCTGCTCTTGTAGAAGACCTGGGATTGGCTCCCAGAACCCACATCAAGTGGTTAGAATTGCCAGAAACTCTAGTTACAGGGAATCTGATACCTTCTTCTGGTTTCTGCAGGCACCTACACATACACGGTGCACACCTATACACTCAGGGGCACACACACATAAAACAAATAAATACATCTTAAAAATGACACCATCAGAGATATCTGATCATATACTTTTGAATGGCTACAATGTTTAGTTTAGGGATAGGACTCTGAGGGTCAGTAAGTTAGTTTCTATTGATTTATTCCTGATGGTTGTTATTCTCAATAAGAATTAACTAATAAGAAACTTTACAACTGGTATTATGCCAGCCTGCTAGTCTGTAGTAACTTTATTCGACAGTAGACGGCAGGGGTCTGGAGAGATGGCTTGATGGTTAAGAGTACTTTTTGCTCTTATAGTGGATCCAGGCTCAATACCCAGAACCTACTTGGTGTTTCATAAGTGTCTGCAATTCCAGTTCCAGGAAATCTGGCCTTCTTTTCTGTTCTCCATGGACACTAGGTATGTGAGTAGTACATAAACTTACATGTATGAATGTTTTCATTCATACATATAACAAAAAAAAAAAAACCAAAACAGTAAGCCATGAACATCTCTGCAAAAGCCTTCAATGATTTCTGCAGGGCAAATTCCTATGAATGGAACAATTGGGTTGGGTTCAGTAGTTCTTTTTGCCTTAGAAATAAAGCTCTGGGCACTGTCAGATTGCTTGCAGGGCAACACAGTGCATCTCTGTCAGCAGCAGAAAACCTGAATCTGTGTCCTTGAATTCTCACCAACAGAACTTACTGTCATTGTTTCTCAGAGTGTCAATTTGATGACCGGAAGTGATATTTCTATATTGGAGTTTCATTCACATAGGAATTAGACACCTGTGCTTCTCTTTTTAGTAAGCTGCCTGGCAACCTTGATTGACAGGCCTATTCATTCATTCTTTTGGAGACTATGGGGAGTGCTAGGGATACATTGTAGCAAGGACAAGACCCCTACCCTCATGGACTACAGGGACATTTATTATTTTTTATTGATTAATGCGATTTCTTTATGTCTTAAGGATATGGATTCTCTGCTTTAATTTCTACAAATGTTCTTCACAAACCCCCAACATCTCATGTTTTGTTTAGTATACCCTCTCATAGTTCAAGATTTACACTTTTAAATAGAAAAAACTTCTGGGTAATGGACAGTGAGAAGAAGTGATATTTTACTTCCTGGTTGAGGCAGTTGGAGGCTCATTTGTCTCCTGCCATGCTGATTCTGGGTATTCATGGTCAGGATGACTTGGGTGCAAGACAGAAGGCCGCCTGACCTCTGCTTGCTCACAGTGAGCAGATGTCCACAGTGGCAAGCAACCGATATGTTAGTGATTAGAGTCAGCGCACTAACAACAAATTGCTACCTCACCTTTTCTTCAAAGCCCATCTGAACTAAATTGAAAGCAATAAAAACCCTTCTTCAGAGAGTCAAAGTCTACATGTGAGACACTTTACGCATATCTTGCATCTTCTTGTGCCACATGATGGAGAGACATGACTATTTCCATTTTATAGATGAGAAAACTCAGGCTCAGAAAGTTACCAGACTTGTCCAAATCTACCTAATGATTAACTTGTTTCTGAATGCTGGTTTATTTGTTTTTTTAAGAGAATTTTGTGGCTTTCAGATATATTTATGCTGAACTTGATAAAATGTTATCAAAGGGCACTGAAGATCAGTCTAAAGCATCTGAAATAATTTCAAATGGTTTAAAGTATTAGTGGTACAATGACATTTTGAAAGCAGTTGCATAAACTGCTCTCTTCAGCATACAAAGCCAGTCCCTATAATCTGTGTTCCTCACTGTTCTGGGGATCTGATGTTGAACCCAGAAGGCAACTAAATGAATCAGGAATTTAGACTTCATTTCTTCTCAGGGTCTTGGTACTATGCAGTCCAGGCTGGCCTCGAACTCACGGCATCCTGAGTGCTGGGATATCAGCATGACTCATCATGCACGGCAACCATCCATTCATGTCCTTTCATATTATATATGCCATGAATACCTGAGCAATACCACCAGCCAGACTCCCGTGTTCACGTGGTGCTAAGTCATATTTGATTCTAGAAAGCTGTCAGAGGGTGTGGGAGCCCATTTCTGTTCAGACGGAGCTACAATTCCGAAAGGTCGCAGCCACCTACAGAGTTTTTCCTTCTCCCCTCCACTCAGTCTGGGCTCACCCTCTTTCGATTTCTGCAGCATTAACCTCCCAAGACCCCTGCTGATAACACCCTCTCCCTTCTCCAGGGCTCACAAAAGTAGAACTTTGAGTGCCACGGATTTCTCTCACCCCTGTTGCTAATCCTGCTGAGCCACCTGGTAGGCTACCAGATGGAGATTACAGTCACTACGAACACAGTGTGCTGTCAGGTGTAATACAGAGGTGGCATTTGGAAGACAACCCAAGCGTTCCTTTCTGGAGAAGTTCATCGGAGCCTCTGTGGTTTCATTGCTGTGAAGAGACACCAGGACCATGGCAACTCTTACAAAAGACAACATTTAACTTGGGCTGGCTTACAGTCTCAGAGGTTCAGTCCATTCCCATCGTGGCAGGAAGCATGGCAGTGTCCAGGCAGACATGGTGCTGGAGAAGGGGCTGAGAGTTCTACATCTTGATCTGAAGGCAGCAGGAGGAGAGTGCCCCACACTGGGCAGAGCTTGAATAGGACCTCAAAGCCTGACCCCACAGGGACACACTTCCTTCAACAAGGCCACACCTCCTAATTGTATCACTCTCCATGGGCCAAGCATTCACACACATGAGTCTATGGGGGTCAACTCTATTCAAGCCACCACAGCCACCCTGGGCTTGCACGCCAGATGATCTCAGTTGCAGTACAGTGTGCAACCCCACCACCAAAACTGTCTTGTCACAGGAAAGCACACGTTTGCTTAGGGATCTGCTGCTATGGATAAACACCTCTAATGAACCAAAACCCCCAGGGTGAAAGAGAATGCTACTAGGAGCTCTTCTTGAAGACTGGTGATCAGATCCACAGATCTGGCATGCTGTTGCCTAGAGCCGTGCTGTCCAGTGGCCATTAGGCGCCTGCTAACTAAGCCCATAAGATGTGGCCAGTCTAAACTGAGCTGTCTCTAGGTGTGAAATTTAAGATTTTGAGGATTTCAAAAAAAAAAAAAAAAGGAAAATAGCTCATTTGCAGTTTTTTAACATTGGGCATACTGGGTTAAATGGGATATAGTGAAATCAGTTTCATCTGTTTCTTTTGTAACTATTAAAAGACCCGCTGAATGCAGCTGTGGTTTGTGTTTCATTTCACTGGGCAACGAGGGTTTGGGCCCTTGGAGTCAATCAATCCCTACAACTAACTTAGGTTCTCTGGCTCGCACTGGCCTCGGGGGCCCAGCTGAGAGCTGAAGACATGGTTCAGAGAGCACAGAATAGATATGAGAGTCTCTTGGGTCTGTCACCAATGGGGACAGATGCAGGTGCCCCTGGCACTTGTGGGCCAAGGGAGGCTTGCAGCCAAGCTTGGGCTCCCTGACATGCTGAGGCCCAGGGCCAGGGGCTGCCATGGCAATTTGGCTTCCCATAATGGGGTAGCTCACAAAAGGAGGCTGGCTTGGCGAGAAGGTCTAGAGTTGGCGGGTTTCCCTGCAGCACATGGGAGGTTGAACTCTGGCTTTGAAGGCAGACCCCAACTGGGGCCACTGTCAACTCCTTTTACAGCTATTTGTCAGTGTGATCACTGTGATTATATGTATATGAGCCAATTGCTTGGGGGGACTGTCAGGATGTTACAAATGGCTGCCTGTCTTATAAAAGTGAGGTATGAATAAGTGTTCTTTCAAACTGGGCATAGGACCAGGGTATGAAAGGACCAGGGGCGGCTTCTCATTTCGCATTAGGCCAGTGGCCCAGGGAGGGCTCCCGGAAGACCATTGGTTGAAGGCCACCCAGCCTTTTCCCCTCTGCCAAGGCAACTGGCTTGAAGGCATCCCAGAGCGCTCGATGCTTTAGATGGCCCCTGGCATCTGACAGCCCAGAGATGGGAGAGCTTGGGGACCCTGTGGGACACTACTGGCCGTAACAAAGGCTGTGACCAATATCACCACCACAGCCATTTGGGATCTTTACCCGCTCATTCATCTCAGCCTTGTAATGCCTGTTTCAAACAAGAGGAACTGAGGCAGAGAGGGGTTGTGTTGCTTGCTCGGGCTTATAGTAAGAGGCAAGGCTGGGCTATGATGGCTTTTGACCGTTTTAATACACTGCTTCTTTTGACCTAGGAAGGTTTCCTAGACAGCTCTTGGGGAAGCCTGCTTGGTAGAGGTTCAAAGAGCTGGCAAGCCAGCTTCCCTCCGTACGTCTGCTTATGAACCCTGCAACACAACAGAGTATGGAGACAGTGGTTTTGTTGGTTCGTGTGCTTGAACTGGACCCTGCCCTTACTTTCCTATAATGTGTACCAACTCCCCAGAGTACATTCTTAAATAAATGAAAGGTCTGACCACCAAAAGCGGCAGGGGTAGGGAGAGGCCTCCTTCCAAGCTGCCACTGGGAACTAAAGGCCT